AAATTCTATGTCGCTCAAATGTGACCAACGGTTGATCTCTTCAACTGTTGGAATACACTGTTCAGATATTGGTAGGCTTTCGACAGTCCAGACACGATCTACCTGAATGCTACCTTCACCATTTAAACTCTGAATGTTTAACTTTACTTCTTGACCATTCCTTGACTTATCTAGTCCATTGACTGTGGTTAAAGTGAATTCACAAGGTTTACTTGATAGATTAAGTTCATGTACTAAATCCTTCGAACACAATGTCGTGTCGGAACCGTTGTCAATAAATGCGTAAGTTTCTATTTCACGAGTTCCATCCTCGTTCTTCACTTTCACGGGAACAATCCTGAGGCTCACCTTCTGACGTCTGTTTGCGGTAGCAGAACAGTTTCCAGAACTACCGGCCTCGTTGCCATGAGGGGATTCTTCACTTCTTCCTGGATCGTTAGGACCTTTACTGGATTCATTTTCTGATTTCGATGGGGGGTGCAAAAGGGAGTGATGTTTCCTTCCACAACCACTTATCATACAGGCGGGATTAAATCTACGTCTTTTCGCCAGATGATTCCTTCGCAAACAATTATCACAAAGCTTCCCTTTACGAACAAAATCCATTCTTTCTTTATGCGTTTTTTCCCGAAACTTGTAACACCTTTCCAAATCATGATTAGTTTGATTGCAGTATATACATCTGATTTGCTTCCTTGCAAGATGAGAATTGTTATCTTTATAACCGGTCGTTTCAACATTGCCGTGTCTCACTGGTTTGGGTTTCTGTATATCTAGTAACTCCTAATGTTCCTTTGTTTGCTATTCGTGGTCTGAATTTATTCTTGTTATCATCATCTGGTTTTGCCCCAACCAATTTTCCGAATATTGTGTTTGCAGTGGAAGCATTTTTCTCCACAAATTCTGTCAAATGTTGAAATTCAGGTTCGATGTCACATCCAATTAGAGTACCAGAACGTTCTGCCCATTTTGCTTGTAAATACGAAGGTAGTTTCTTTACAATCTTCGAAAGGGTATCCATTGCGTTGATGTCCGCTTTATAGTTCAGCTGCGTGGAGTTCAACAAACAATTACGCATATTCCGAGCCAATTGCATTAACTTGTCTGGTTCACCAGGCTTAATCTGTGGACCTTTTGTGACTCTTTCAACAAATGCGCGAACGATTATATGTTTTTGTCCAAAGTTCTTCCTTAAGATCTCTTTGGCCTTTGCATAACCTTCATCTGCTGGTAAAATCACACAATTTTCGATCGCTTCTCTTGCTTTACCACTCGTATATTGAATCAAAAAGGACAGTTTAACGCTTGTTTCTTGTACTCTGTTTTCCACATTTAGCTCGAAATTCCTCATGAATCTTGTATAATTTACTGGATTACCATCGAAATGTAGAAACTCTCTCTTTGGCAATACCATTCCTGTCGTGAATCTTTCTACTGTCGCTTGTTGTCTTTCCATCAACAGGGTCTGACGTTCTAAGATTCGGTGCAATTCAGACTTCTCAGTATGGACATTGTCACCAAGGTTCTGTGTTGTCTGTTCTTTAGTTACTTTACGGTTAACTCTGACTTCGTTGTCCACATCAACAGTTTTTAGGTCTTGGTTAACCAAATTTTCATCCAACTTCTGTGGTTCTGATTTGTGATTACAACAGTCGACAGGAAATTCTGAACTGAAAAATTTCTCCATCTTCTGATGAAGAGTCTGACTTTCAATATTCAGAGATTGCAGTGACCTCCTCTCTAACGCATGGTCATCATCGACTTGTGAACACTGAGATTCTAGGGCACATATGCCAACTTCTTCTTGAGCATCAATAATTTCTTTCTTCATTTGCAATCTAGCCATTTCTGTTTTAAATTCTTTTTCTCGCATTTCAGTTTCGAGTTTATGTTGCTCATCCAAGAGTAACTGCCTTGCTTCAAGTTGTGCTAATTTCCACTGGGCCATCGCCAACTTCTGACTTTGTCTACTTGTTACTGACATTTTAAGTTTGTTTCTGAATTCCGATTAGTTTTTAATTTGCTTCCCTCGCTTCGGCCCGCATTACAAACCGAATCGTTCTGTTTCCTGCTTCCTACGCTCTGTTCTGAATTATAAACTAAGTCGCTTTGTTTCTTAGGAATTTGGAATGCCGCATCTCTATTCAAAGGAATTTCAACAAATGGCTCTAATGCAGCATCAGCCATTGTTCTATCAAAACGTCTTAATTGTTCCGTAACATTGTTTGTTTCATGATGCGTTTCAGCATGTCGGTTATGCTCTTTAGATAATAGACTTAAATTACGCAACCATTCCGAATAAATTCGAATGAATTCGGTGTATCTCAATACTTCGCTTTCTCGAAGTTTTTGGACCGCTTTGTTATCTTCTTCTCGCTCTAAATATTCGCTATATTTCACGCTTGCTAATTTTTTATAGCTTTCAAATATGCTACTTAAAGCGTCCCGTCTAGTAATAGTCTCCGCGTATTTATTCGGGTCGCTCATCGATTATTTAAGTTCTCGATAAGACCTTGTTAAATAACCCCGATATGCCGACAGCGCATTCGTAAGTTTATTAAGTCTTTCGTTAAGAACAGAGTCTTGATTCAACAGTGTACTCGCTTGGCATTCACTACGGTCTCGAAGTTCCATGACTTAAAGCTCGTATATTCAGACCGTTTACTACAAACTGAATTGATACTAATACTGGTAAACAACTGAGGACGATAAAGAACTAATGTAGCAACGGTCTCACTTATATTTTGCCGGATAAAATTACTCGCCACGCCAGTGCTTGTCCGTTCTTGAACTGAATCAATCTTTAGACTTTAATCTTTATTCTAGCGAATAGCGGTTCTATATAAATTAATTTATAAATTGCTAGCTATACTAGATTACAAACGAATAAAATAAATACAAATACAAATACTAAATGAGTTATACCTTTATCGAAGGCTCCTTCCGAACTTTAAGTCTCTAACTGTTCCTTACGCGAGCACAAGCAAACGATAACTAAATTTATTACTAACTTAAGCTGCAAACTACCTTAAATACTAGCTATCTTATACTATAATTAGCTTATAATTAATTAATTTATTTTACCTAATCTATTTTAATTTCGTCTTTACAATAATAATTAAATAATGTAATTTCATAGTTTATTGTTTTTAAAATTGTAAATTAGTTGTGAAAAACCCTCCGGGGATAACTAATAAATTGTATGTATGTATATGTATTGACTATTGTTGTGTTTTACGGTGCTAATAAAGTTCTTCTTCAGCAAAAAACAATGGAAATCAGAAACATATCGTGGACTTGATACCACGGTAATAAACTTTCGAGTTGACCTCTTTCCCGTTGAATAACTATATAGTTCCTTTGAAAAGTCATACTGTTTACTTGAAACCATTCAATGTTCTTAAAATACTCGTAATTAAAGTTGTAAAAACTAGAGTCAAAAATTGCATCAAGTCCATTTTAATAGTTTATTTACAGAATTTAGAATTAAACATGATAAGAAAATTAAGAAAGTGATATATATGTTCGCGAATCAATATATGTTATTGTTTTGGAAGTTATGAGTAATTAATTATTGTTTGATTATGCGGATAACCTCAGTACTTGGTAGACCTCGATAGTTCGTTGAAGAATACCACCTACATGGACCTCCAGGTTTATAATCATTAACAGGTGCGATAATCTGCAGAAAAGTTAAGAATAATCATTTTTCACCATAACTACTCGCGCTTTTTCATCTCAGTTTTATTTCAGAAAGTTTAGCTGTGACAGCTGCCGCAATTTTATCATCACAATCATCATCATCACCATCAGTATATGTTTTAATAAGTTCATTCAGTTCTTTAATTGTTGTAAAAACATCACCACTCGAAGATGAATGGTTTGGTGCCTTGCTTGGTTCTTTGACCATCTCCAATATTCGGTTTAGGATTTGCATTGCCTTAGTGGAAGCTTCCTTTTCAAGGTCAGTGGGATCTCGTTCTAAATGCCTACGCAAATGGTCTGGATGGTACTTCAGTTGCAATTTCTTTATATCATTTTTATGAAGCAATTTGACAGCATCGGCTATGTTGCCCCATGTTAGATTACCTGTCGTCGAAAAGCCCTTTGCCAAGTTGGCGGATGATGTTAGCGCCGCAATGACATCAAAATCAAACAAAACTTTCTCTTGGGTATCATCCTTCACCTTGTTTGCTTCGCCAGCCGTCTTTGCAGTCTCAAACAACTCTTCTATATTGGCAAGGACGTCACAGGTCGGATCAGACAACGCTTGAACCATATCTTTAGCAAAATCGTGCAGTTCACGGTGTATAAATGAGGATGATTTTAAATTTTTACAACAAACCCACTCCAGTCTTTTTACTCCGTCGCCTCTCAAACCTGCAGCTTGAACATCGACCTTGCAATCTCGCCACGATGTGACTTCATAAAGGAACAGAGCGTATTTCGAAGCCGATCTACCGCTCCAATGCACAAGTGGTGCATGTTTCATACCTTCAAACGCATTCCGAGAAAGCTGCCGTCCACTCTCCATATCGACTTTCCTTAATGCAACCTCAATTGCACTCTCTGCTTTTCTTAACCGTTTTCCACCAAGAAAATTTAAAAGATCGCTACCGTCTCGATATTCTCGCGCCATCAAGACTTGCAGATTATTCTCGTTTTTTCTTTTCCAGAGCAGAAAGCCAGCAGCAGCAAAACCTTGCTCGTCTTGGTCCCTCAATTTTGCCTTAACGTAAGGTTTATACGACGTTTTCTGTTTCAGTTGGTGAAATTCACGGCATTGACGGCGCTGGTGTGACTGTTGACTTTCAGGAACACCCGTGCAAAACATGCATCCAGTTTCGTTATAAGATCTGTGGTACCCACCAGGATACCCTCTTCGGGGGAAACCATCCCTTCTACCATAACCGCCGTACATTTTCTATATAAACATTGCATAAAATAGTTGGAATCATTTCATGTATACGACCCATGTTTTAAACTTTGTATAGATTGAAGTGCATGCCTATAGTTTAAAAGTATCCTATATATTTTTGATAGTTGACACATAAAGCTGTCTTTATAAATAAAAAGGGAATTTATTTAGGCAGTTTAATTCAGTGCTAATTCATTGGTGGTCGCATACTTCAAATGATCCGAAGTCCCAGTCTAGTTACAACGGCGCTACTCCCAGTCCAGTAAACAACGGCGCTACAATGTGCTGAATTAATTAACTTAGGCCCGTTTCAGACGGCGTACAGCGTACTTTTCATGTGCCGAACTTAATTGACGAATTAGGTACGGCAGAAGAGCGACGTATGAATCAATTGACATTTGCGTAATAGACTAAATTTTGATCTAAACAAGTCTAGACAAAAATTCCCCAAAGGGTATTGGGCTGTCAATTTCCCGTTTGTAATCTAAAATGACTGAAAATTGCAAACTTCGCAAGGCTATATTACTCGTATTTTACAACATTTCGCAACGAAACTTTGGAATATTACTAATTTTGTGATGCTCTTTCAAGCTGTGATGGAATTTTTGTCTAGATCAAAATTTAGTCTATTACGCAAGATATTAAGCACGGCAGAATTTGGAGCGGTAAAAATTCGACACAAGTTCGGCAGAGCCTGTGGCATTATGCGACGTTTGAGCGACATTGATTCATACGCCGCTCCACTCGTGTGCCAAACCTAACTCAACTTTTTACTCCGGCTACCGTAGGTGTGCCGGGGTTTTAAAATGCTAGCGCCTGTCATCCGTTCCGCAAGTTGAAACCAATAATCTATTGGCGTTGCTGGGTGCGCCTGTCGTTTCGGGCGTTACAAATGCGACCTACGTTCATGGAGTTAACCGCTTTTCTCCTCTAATGGTTCACAGGCTCACGTCAATAATAATACATTTTTAAGTTAACAAATATAAAACATTTTCCGTGTTGATATACAGTTATATCAACACGAGTGGAAATTGGGAAAACGAGAAATTGTGTGGAAACACGACGCCCGAAGGGCGGAGTGTTTTCATACAATTTCGAGTTTTCCCAACTTCCACGAGTGTTGATATAACTATATATCAACACGGGAAAAATGTTTTATATATATTTGTTTTATAATATAGCAATGTCAAAAGCCCGAAGAATAAGAAAAAGTTCCGTGTTTACAAGCAGCGGAAAATTTCCCGTGTTGACATAGAGTTATATCAACACGGCTCTTAGCCAATCAGAGTTCAGAATTTACAAATGTTATATTATAATATTATTTAAAACATGAGCAGCAGTGTTTTATCAGATATAAAGATACCAAAGCGAAGCCTAGTATCTTTAGGTCTGATAAAACACGCACTGCGAATGTTTTATAAATTGCTTCAAAAACGATCGATCTAGCAAGTCCATTGGCGAAGTAATTTTCAAAAAAACGTTGTGTAAGTCGAGAAAATCAAAGTTAAAGTTTACGTAAATCAAGGGAAATCTTGGCTGGAATCTGAGCCTATAGGGATCTCTATCACATATAAAGATACTTATGATTTTTCTTTGTGCTTTCCTCATGAATTATTAATGCTTTTTTGAATATAAAATATATAATGTCAAAATGGCTGCAAAGTAGGTTGGACAAGGTTGGACTGTTTGAGCCTGCAAAGCATGACAGTGGACACACATTCTTTAAATAACCCTGAAACTATAAGATTGTTTCATTGTAAACTAATAACTAAGGCCTATAAGGGACACATTATTGAGCCAATTAATGAGCCACAATACTATAATGGTCTGTATCTTATCAATTCATTATTGTATTTTGTAAATAAATAAACTCAACAGAAATTTCATAACAGCATGTAAGTTCTTAATTAATCCTTTAAGTGGCAATGCGCCCAGATGTGCCCTACTTTATTATTTCACTTTGTCTAACGCCAGAGTGCCAGACGATTTTACTCGTCAGGGGGAAAATGCCACCACACAATGGGTTAAATTTGTTCAACTTTATCTTAGCTGTTTTAAATGTTGTCATTTATTTAGTGTTTCTCATGTGCAGAATATATCATTAAACACAGAAGAAAATCAGTTAAATGCTTGTATTCGACTGTAACTTCCAATGATTAACAACTAGGTACAATATTCTTCATTGGCATGCGATGATCCAGAACCATGATGATGTTAATGCTGAACAATTAAGGTCACATGATTTTCTGTGTGAACCCGACATGCTACATATAGGTAGAAGCACTACTTCATGATCTGGTATTAATAAAGCACAAGAAACGTACGTTACCCATGTGCATGTTTCTATATTTTTACAGCACGCCGTCTTTCTATAACACCATCTCAAAAATAGCTACGCTTAGGTTTTCCCTTAATAAAATTTTCCTCTGAATCAATTTAACCGGCACAGACTAGACTTTTTAACCACCTCCTTCACATGACTAGCCTTATAGTTCCTATTATGCCGCCTGGGCCGTAGCCGGAGTGTACGTCTGCACTGGCGTCTTGTTAAAATTTATTCTAGTATTAGATTAGCCATGCATCTTGTAATTTAAAAATAGACTTATTTGTTTTGAATTTTATTTAGGTTTCGCTGGTGAATGCGCCCCAACCTTGTCAATATACGCATGTTACGGCGGGTTCGGGACGACGGCTAAACAAATTACTGTTTGAAATAAATGATTGTATGGAAATTGTCTAGTATATCTACTTTCGTATGAATTTAATACTAAATGTTTTTGTTTGTGGAAACACCACGTAAATTTATTACTGCAAAGCTTTGCAGTAATAAATTTACGTGGTGTTTCCACAAACAAAATTAAAACATTTATATTTTATCGCCATGCAAACATTCAAAGAATTTAATACTGTTTCGAACGAGTAAAATGGAGCTTTAACCTTCAGAGCAATGTTGATCAACTCGACTGATCTGCTAGAAAAACTACCTGGCAGACGGCTTGAAATGTAGTATACTATAAACAATACTATACGAGACGTGAAAATATGCATTTTGCCGTTGTCAACAGAGCTTGGACGACGTCTGAAACTCCTGCTATACTTTTAATTATTCATTTCTTCTGTGCTATAAGATTAATGACGTTGTATTGATAGTCGTCGCCGTCTTAAATTGCTTTCGCTTCCTTGTTAGTCCATTCCTTCCACGTATTAAAATCTCGTAAAAGTGAAACTACAAGAATATGGGTAAAGTAGATCCAAACTCCCTTGCCTATGTATCTTGTCTGCGGGATAGGCATGGCTATGCTCAGGTTTTAGGCCCGACTTAGCTAACTATAGGCTCATGCATGAATCCTTTCAAAAGACAGCTTCAATCTTGCTTCAATCTTATATCAAGATTGTGGGCATTGCTATTGTTTATATACCTTGTACCTTGTTTTCCACAAGATTATAGATTTCTACGAAAATTAGATTAATTATACTAGAATTTCTATTTGTAGATCGTATATATACGTATCACTAACGTATGTAGCCTACTTACTTGTTGGACGAATTTGCAAGCCTTAATTTCACTTTAACATATATACAGATGAAATGCTTCCGTCATGTCTCATTCGCACGGTAGCAACTGATGCATTATGTAATTGTAAACTTATTAATTTTACAGTAAGAATACTATAAATAAATTATTTCCATGCCAACCTAACACTCATACATGCTTCTGACGACAGGTGGCCGTACATTGTGTGAAAACATAGGCATAGCCTGCGTAGCAGTCGCTTTATTTTCTGAAGGTTTTGAGGATATATAGTTTTATATTTGAGGATATTTTAAAGTGCCTATGACACGAAATTTCACCCCAAAGGTTTATGGTTGCATTGTAAAGATCACTTAAAATGACTTAATAATAACTTCTTTTATAGAATTTTGGCAACTTGCTCCCTTTTCAAGATATTCAACTTTGTTTCATATGCAAATATCACCGGTGTGACATCACATCACATAATTTCAGAAAGTATAGAGGGTCCTGAAGGGGTAAAATGGGAACTGGGATTGATCTATTTTTAGACTGGGAAAATGGGATTTGGGTTGCTGGGACTGGGATTTGGCCACTGGGAATGGGAAATGAAGTCTTCAAAAATGGGAATGGGATTGAGGTAATGCGAGTCGATTCCCAATTTTTCTGCGTTTTGAGTATTTTAAAATACAATTTTGATCCGTTCTTGGTGTCTTTGGTCATGATTTTTGTTGTTAACTATATTATTCACAGCACTACCTGCGAACAGGCATACTCTGGCACCCGGAATTCTGGTTTTTCTGATTATGCGCGTCTCAGAATGCTGCAAATGCCATTTCCAGGATTCAAATTTAAAAATTTTCCGTGCCTTCGGCACGAGCCCCCCTGATATTTCATAAAGTGTCCGCCACATGCTTAAAAGGTCTTAAAACTGTTTATTCTACCGATAAATAAAGGGTTTTTTATTGACTGGGATTTCAATAACTTGGACTGGGATTTCTAATAAAAATCCGACTGGGACTGGGATTTTGCCAAAATTTCAGGTGGGAAATGGGATTGGGACCCCCCCTTCAGGACCCTCAGTATAGTTTTCTTGACGAATACGTATCGTACTTAAAAATTGCCCTTGTATATGTATTAATTTCATAACTGGTAATTAACCCTATGTATTTGTTTGTAAACATATTTTATCAAGGTAAAATATTGCGTTTTCAAAATGTCATTATGCGATGTGATGTCACACCGGTGATATTTGCATACGAAACAAACTTGAATATCTTGCAAAGGAAGCAAGTTACCAAAATTCTATAAAAGAAATTATTAAGTCATTTTAAGTGTTCTTTACAATGCAATCATAAACATTTGGGGTGAAATTTCGTGTCATAGGCACTTTAAGAAATGAATGAGAAAAAGGATCGGTCATTACTGTAGAATTCGGAACTACAGTAGAACCCCTTGAACTCGCTCAACTCAAACTCCTCGCCAACTTGAA